TTGAAAAATAAAGTGTATGGTTTAGTGCTCCCTAATAGATGCAAAGCTCTCTAACTGGAGAAGAGTGGAGGCCAAATGATAGACTCACTTTGGATGAATGTTTTGAGATGACAGGGAGATTAGGGGGAAACACATAATTGGAACTAGAAAATGGAGGTTTTTGCTAATAGACTTACTGGTTGGTTTTTTTTTTTTTTTTTTGAGTGCCTTAGTTGTAAAATTTGTCTTTTTTTCCTGGATAAAACTATTTTAGAAGTTATGTAATTTTTGGTTTTCACTTGTAAAGGTCACTGCAAATCTATCATTTGATCTGCCACCCTTTGAGGGAAAAATAAAGTTCCATCATGAAAAATTGTTGGCTTTTTCTGTGCCATGTTGAAATGAATGTCATGTAGCTGTTTAAGAGGAAGGTAAAAATGTCCCCACTACAACTTGGCATATTAAAGGTAGAACAATTGGCAAGCTGTAGCCACGTGGCCCTTTTCGACAGTAAATAAAATAAAGTTATGATAAATGGAATGAAGACTCAAACACAGGCATTAAGATAAATGAAAATATAAAATCTTGTAGATTTTATATATTTGGTACAAAAACATAGATATTAGTTGATCAAGCTTGAAAAAGTTGATATTAATTTTTTTAGAGACTTAGAACAATACTCATTTACTGCCTCACAATTTCTGTAGGTCTGGGCATAATATTTTAATTGTGCTAAAATATATACAACATAAAATTGATCATCCTAACCATCTGAAGAATAGAGCAGCAGTAATAAATATATTCATAATGTTGTGGAAAACCATTACCATTGTTCATCTCTATCACCCTTTCATGTTGTAAAATCCAAACTTTAAACTCATTCAGCAACAACTCTCCATGTCCTCTCCTCCCAGCTTTAGGCAACCACCATTATATTATGATTTTCTATGATTTTGAATACTCTTAGCACTTCATATAAGTGGAATCATACAATATGTGTCTTGTTGTTGTCAAGACTCACCCATACTGTAGCACAGTTTGTCAGAATTTCCTTCTTTTCTAAGGTTAAATAGCATTCAGTTATATGTAGGTAAACTCATTTTGCTTATCCATTCATCCATTGATGAACACTTGGGTTGTTTCGATTTTTTGCTAATATGAATTATGCTGCCATATACATGGGTGTATGGACATCTTTTTGTGGCCCTAACTGGAATTAGTGGACCATATAATTCTATTTTTAATTTCTTGAGGAACTGCCACGTTTCCAGTGACTACAACATTTTTACATTCTCATCAATAGTGCCCAAAGTTTCTAATTACTCGCCAACAAAAAAAATTTAACATTTTGTTTGATAATAATATAAGTAATTATTTGATAGTGAAAACTGAACTGAATTAAAGAGGTGTAAGCTGTGGATTCTTATTATTAATGATTAATCAATCGTCTTCATAATGCTATTTATGTTTTTGTTAATTATAAGAGCTGTTATTCATCACAAAGTCATTTTTGGTATTTATTAATTTACTATGGCATTACTAGCCTTGATTATCTCAATCTGTATATAAACTTGGCAAATTTTCTTAAAAATTGTGGAAGGTACATTTTTTTTTTTTTGCTTGAAATGAATTCACAAGTTCAACACAAATGTGTCCTTGTAGTCTTTTGATTACAACTTGGTATCTGTTGTCAGGGGGGATGGACTCCAAGGGAGAATAAGGAAAGCTTGTGACTTGCTCTGAGAGAGCTCACTGACTGCAGAGACTCCTGTTCCCAAGATCTTCAATCTGGTGCCTGGAACAGAATATAATGACTAGGGACTTTTGGGTTCTTGACTGCCTAATTTGTTAATATGGGGATCTTTGGACAAATCTTTTAAAAGAATTTCTATGTTTGGTTAAGTTTTAAAGGCCATTCTTTGATGGCTTCATTTGATTTTCTTAGGGCCATTAGTTTTCAGGTGATTATCTGGGGTTTGAAAACAGCTACTGCGATGTAATACACTAACTGCTTTCAAATATATCTGACAGATACTTAGATTAGGTAGAGGAGAGTGAAGGGAGGAAAGGGGTTATGGGAATAGGAAGGATAATAGAATGAAACAGACATTATTACCTTATGTACATATATGACTGCATGACCCATGTGATTCTATAATATGTACAATCAGAAAAATGAGAAATTATACCCCATTTATGTATGATGTATCAAAGTGCACAAATACATTATTCTGTCACATGTAACTAATTAAAACAAATGAAAAATTAAAAAATATACATCTGACACTTCAAAGAAAGGCAACAATTGGTTTTCAAGACTTTTAACATAACATCAGATTCCTCAGGCAGCAAAGCTGTTGGTTGCTAGTTATTTTAAATCAAAATGGGCAAAAAGGTAACTTAGGAAAGTGTTATATTGTCATTTTATGAAACTCTTATAAAAAATTTTTTATTGGTTTAATATTTACCAAGTCATAGCTTTCATGCTAAACTCCAAACACATTTAGACACATTTAGTCTTGCTTTCGATAGTTTCAGGGCCCACATATGTCTCCGAGATAATTTAATACCATATTTCATTTAATGTTCACTCACACGTTCTGCTTTGCCATACTTCCAAGTTAGCGTTCTAAATTGATTCAGCAGAATTAATCTTCAAACACTCTTGCCTCTTTTTGCCAGCTGGTCCCTTTGTAGGTTGTTTAGAAGATATTGGACTGGTAAAAGGAAAGGTCTTACTTTGTTAAGTGGTTATTCTATCATAAGAAGATCAAAAGAGACCTTAGTCAATTTTCAGACCAACCAATTGAATCCCCTTGGGTATAAAAGGGCAATATAAGCCTTATAATAGCCACTGGGGAGTTATTAAATTATTTGGGTAAAGTTTCTTTACTTGTGAAAGTGATTGTTTACTATTATGATATTTAAAAAGTAGGTTATGTAACCAGGAGACTATTTTTAGATGTGTTTGTAAGGGCGAAGTTTTGCTCTGTAGGAAAAGAAATATTTGCAAATCACCAGGAGTAGAAGATACTTAGTACTAAGCATTCACATGGAAGTTCTTTTCTCTTTTCACTTTATGCTGTCAAGAGCTACAAAGCTATGTCAAGTGTAAAAAATGTTAAGCGGCCCCGTTGAACTTGTTAAACCATTGAAGTGATTTGGGTTCTCTCTCTCTCTCTCTTCTCTCTCTCTCTCTCTCTCTCTCTCTCTCTCTCTCTCTCTCTCTCTCAGAAATAAAGTCAGAATCAAGAATAATTCATTAACTTGTTTCCAATGAATTCTTATAGTCATAATAACACATATATAAAGAAAAGTATGGATACTTTTATACTCAAATGCTAAATGTTCCTTAGAGAAAATGTTGGGAAATGATATGATGACAGAGAAGGGAAATGCTCATTTCCTTGATGCTATATGTTGCCTAGGAAACTTATAAGTTTAAACTAAGCATTTAATTCACAAATTAATATAAGGACCAAGCGAGGAAAGATGAGTAATCAGGATAAATGTTGTCTGTAATAGCCAGGGTTCAATAATAAAAGTAAAAACCACTTTAAGGTGTTTCAAACAGAAAGGAGCTAAGTAAGGAGTTGATTAAAACGTTGTGGGAAGAATGGAGAAACAAATCAGAAAATCTGGGGATCAGCTGCCACCCCTGCTTCTGCCATCATGGTCACTCTTACTGGAATTGTGCTGCTAATGCTGCTGAAATTGCCACCAATGTTTCTGCTGGGGCTGTTGAAGGTACCACCAGGAGAAAGACAAGTTGAGATGTTTTAGCTGAGCTGCCAGAGATCCCGCAGTGAGACATATGCAGAAAGGTTTGGAAGAGTGTTCTGAAGATGCATTGGAAACTGATGGCTCTGTGTTTGTTTTAGGCGAGAAGTATTAAAGGAGGTAGAGCCAGTGATGATTGAGACAAAGTTAATTTTTACAGAAAATTATTGAGTCAAGGATATTGTAGTCCCCCCTCAAGAGTCTGGAAAATTAATTGATTTTGATAACATAGTAGTTTCTATTTTTCTAACGTGGGAAGATCACACTGAAATCCATTTAGGTATAAAAAGCAAGCCCTCTCATATGTCAAAAACCAAATATTTTCTTGAAATGTCTCGCTTCACATAATCCAAAGCTTAATTTACTAGTCTATGAATTAGTCTCTTCTGGTATTTATATGCTGCAATTCCTCAGAAGAGTTGAAAGGACTACAATATACCCTTAGAGACCAAATTCCACATAGCTGGCTTTGAGCAGTCTTGTCTGCTTGCTTCTTCTGCCTCCTGTTCCACTTTCTATGAAGACATCTCCATCCTGGTACTGAACAACTGGAGTGAACATCATACATCCCTGCTTATAATATAGTAGAACCAACATTGATACAGAAACAAATACATTGATAACAGAAACAAATACTAGGAAATTGAATCTTTGCTTTCTTATTTTTTGGAGGTAACTGAGAGCTGGCTCTTTGTAGGATGAAGGAATCAACAATTTAACCAGGATTAATTAGCCAGCTAAACCACATAACTAATTTTTTATTTTCCCCTTCACTATATTGACCAGCTATTTGACAGAACTGAGTGATTAAATAAAAATGATCACTTTAGCATATAACTTCATCCTACTGCTTTGACTTGTGTTAAGAGAAAAACTGAGGTCAGTTCAATTTAACCAAGTTAACTTGAGTAAGAAAGAGGTCATAGAACTGAGCAGCATTCCATACCAAAGGTGGTAGAATGCCCCACCCCACCACACATATAGGCTATATTTATAGCAGAGAAAAGGAAGTGACATACAGGAGCAAGCTGATAGACTGCAGTCAGTATCTGCCTTATAAGGATCAGTTAGGAGCTTGTGATTGGCTGAAGCTCAATTGCTGTTGGCTGAGACTCAATTGTTTGGTTATAAGGGTGTACTGTGATGTTGGGTTATAATTTCTTTACACGTTAGTTTGCTATGAACAGAGATCACTTTGGGCCAGACTTATAGGTGAAATGTGGAGCCCATTTTAGGCCAAATTGTATTTTGTTCAACCCTCGAAAAGTATTATTTATTGTAACTGGTGAATTATTGAAAACAGATTTACAGAAAATTGCTTTGTATGATGAATAACCACCAAAACTTATTGTTTTTCTAGAGAGGACATAGGGATTGGCTTGAAATTCAAGGGACTGGCACCACATTTTCTTATACCCTTCACCTCTCATCATCTCTTTGAAGTCCAACCCTATCTTTTCCCCATATTTAGTCCACCATAATGTCACGTCTTCCTCCAACTTTTACCTGGCTTCAAAGTTCTGTTAGTGATGCAGTATTGAGTGTCTGTTTGTGAATATCTAGAACTGTTCTCTATCACTTTAATGGTGGAGGAATAGGACTTTGGGCCTACTATTACAGAAGACAGGACACATCATATTCTAATGACTGAATTAAGAGGTTCTTTTTATTTCTTTCCTTTTTTTTTTCTGGTGTAGTTGTGGAGTTTGTTGTAGAGTTGAGGGTCCATTGTAATTGAGGGATTCATAGAAAAAAGCTGGGTAAGTTTCATTCTGTTTTCTTGGAGTATACCACCATATAGTTGAATGATCACAGCACTTTTTTACCTTCCAAAGTATCTTAAGAATTGTCAGTGTCTACATGATCCGATAGGAAATTCCAACTGCATTTTGACCAAGACACAAGATGGAGTTTACTATATTTGAAGATATATTCACAGTCATTCCCATGGTGATGGGGGAAAGTATGTATGTACATGTCCTAGCTTTATCTGTGTGAGTTTTATGTAATGTAAATAATTCACAGTGCATAAATTTTATTTCTTTTTCATGTTTCTATTATTAGTGCATTGTAATTATATATAATAGTGGGGTTCAGTGAGACAGTCATACATGCACATAACATAATTTGCTCCATTTCACTCTTTAATACCCCCTTCCCCTCCCCTCCTCCCTGCCTTTGATCCTCTTCCTCTACTAGTTTCCCAATTATTTATTTATTTAAATTAGTGCTTCAAAATTAGATATATAGTGGGATACATTGTGATATATTAATACATAGCATAATTAAATTGACATGAAGTTCACTTCTAAGTAACTGAGACTTGGATGTAGAAAAAAGAAAGTTTAAAAGGTATGCTACATATAAGGTATTTCATGCATTCTGCATCTGGGCTTTGACCGGGTCTAAGTTGTTTTCATCAGAAATAAATCACCACTGACATTTCATTTTTAGTCACAACCTTGAAATCTTATTCAATGTTCTAGAAAAAAATCTATGCTTTGGCAAATAAAAATTGGCAGCTACTTTGTAGAAATCCATTCCCTTGAGGTAAAGTTGACAGCATCATTTAATGTAAGTCCAATTTTCCCACAAAGGAGGGTTGTGAAGATTAATGAAGTAGTTTAAAAAATTCTTTGGTAACTTATTGTAGAAAAGACTTTTAAGAAAAATATTATCATGTCTGGTTTTGGTATTAGGGACATAATCTTTTCTTAAATAAATTAGAATCTATATAATCAGTCTATCTATCCATCCATCCATCCATCCATTTATCTATTCTGTCTCTCCCACTAGAATAATATCTTTTAAATGTATTTGACTTTGACCTAGACTAAGAAACATATTTTTATCACCCACTAGTGTGTGCCTGTCTACATACCACATACACACACAAATGTATATGCATAAATTGTACTATGTAAATTAATAAAAGGGGAAAAAAGCAAAAGAGTTGATTGAGAGCCACTGAATTGGTATCATGATTTTCTAAATGTGCCTTGTAGTTCAAGAAACACTATTATTACAAAACCTACATAAACAGATAAGCATTTAAAAGAATCTCTGTGCCAAAATCCTACACAAAAATTATTCATAATAGCACATTAGAACAAACACAAAACCCAGAAAAGTGTTTAACTAGAGTTCTTTTCTTCAGGGAACTGCTGATAGTAAAAGGCTGTGTCAAGCTGACTGTGAGTTCAACCTACTGGAGCACTGCCACCACTATGGGGTTTCTGATTGAACTTTCCTCTCTTTATTGCTGCTGGTAATATGAAAATTAAAAGGCTTATTCTTATACCTAGTCTATATGCTGTTTTGTTGATAAATAATAAGGACATTATTATTTAAATGAGTATTTAAAGAGATTGAGTTATTTCATATGAGCTTTTGCATCAGTATGCATATATATGTATATATATATATATATATATATTTTTTTTGAGAGAGAGAAGATAGCTACTCTTGGTTCTAGTTCTCTACCACTGTTGTACAGGAATCTAGATGAGTCTGTATTGTCAGTCACCATCTGGCATTGGGAAACCCAGAGAGCTTTCAGACATTTTCCTTTGTTGGGACATTTCTTCAAGTCAAAATAGGGAATATCTCTGCCCAGTTGCTCAGCTTTGTCAAAATGACTGGATGATTCTGTGGAAATAGTTTGACCTTACACGTTAATGATCACCTACACGGAAATTAACTACTGTCCCTGTTTCTTCAAGTTAGGAGGTCTGAAAATCAGTATAGCTTATACTTTGCTGCATGATTTTTATAACTTAAATTCTGCTTTCAGTTTTAAAGAGTACTCTGTATTCAAAATCTCACACTGTTTCAGAAACCTTTCAGCATGGATCAGTATGGAGCTCTGACATGCTGTTTTGATTACATCTCAGCTCATCCATTTAAGAAGCCTGAAAAGTTGTTTCAGCAGATTTCCTGCAGGTGTGTCTGATTACCTGGGCTCCCTTGTTTCACTAAGATAAATGGAAAACTTAGATCTTCATGAAATAAGGGCTGGAGGGAGAAATTCTGCAGTGAATTGCCTTAAGAAGAGCAGAGTTCCCCACCCCTAGAAATGTTTAATCATAGTCTTGGTGACTACTTGTTGGAAACACTGTGGAGAGGAAAGTAATGCAAGATTAGAAAGCTGTAAGGTTTCATCCAAATGGGAAATTTTGTGAGTCTAGATTATGTGAAAAGACTGACATATTTGGCTTTAGAATTGTTGAATTTTCAACAACTTGCACATGGGCTGGCACCTATGCAAACTGGCACCCGATGTTGTAAGTTGTCACTTGTTGAAGTCTGAGTTCAGCATGGTAGCAATTTCAGAAACGCTTGTGTTGAATTAATTTGTGCTTTAGCTTAAATACTTCAGTCACTATTCTTTAGACTTATTCTTCTTTTTCTCAGGGTGTCACACTCTGTATTTGCAGAAAAGTTGTTCAAGTTTCAAGACTGGGGAATACTGATAGCATCAGACATGGAAGTTCTTTGAAGAATCTCTAAGGATCACTAGTCGTTTTGGAATTAGAAATCCTTTGAAACTCTATCCAGAAAAGTGCACATGGAATTTTATAGACATGAAGGATTCACCCCAGATGAAGAATCCCTGAAAGAAAAATAAACCCTTTCCTGTGTCTCACATTCTCACTTCCTAGAGACCGCCAGAACACACCGGTTGTTACCCTGAAAAACAGTAACTGAATTTTGTTTCCATTAAAAAATCATCTCAGAATGGGAAGGGAGTCCATGAAGTATAAAAGCATAAGAAGAAAAAAAAAGACATAGAAAAAAGCCAATGGATCTTGCTTCATGAAATAAAAGATTGTTCGTCAAAGAACATCATAAACAAGATTGAGAAGAAAACAAGAAATCTGGGGGAAATGATTACAGCATTAATATAAACATGAATTTTTTAAATCAATGAGAAAAACAGTAAAAAAAATGTGAAAAATGGTCAAAAATAAGTGAAAATACCATCTTTTTCTTACAGCAATTATGGAGTAATTGCTATGTGTCATAAACAGAAGATTTTGGGGGCAAACACCCCATCTTCAAGAACTTCATTAACAGTAAATGAAACATAAATAACCAATTAACAAATGAAAAATGCCTAGTTTCTCTATCAAAGAAATGCACAAAACCAAAATAGTTAAAACATTTTGAAAGATTGTTAACAGAGATAAAATACTGAATATTATTGAGGAGATGAACATTTGCTTTTATCTACTTCAGGTAGATGTTTATGTAGAAAGTTTTTCTGGAATTATATAGGCAAGATGTATTAAGAACTTTAAAAAGTGGATGCTTGCTAAGGTTTGGATATGAGGTGGCCCCCAGAAGCTGTTCATGCAGAAAATGATTAGATTATGAGAGTGTTACCTGATCAGTCCTTCCTAGTTTGAATGGACTGAATGGGTGGTAACTCCAGGCAAGTGGGGTGAACCTGGAGGAGGTGGGTTAATGTGGATGAGCCCTGGAAACATGCATCTTCCCTGCTCACCCTCCCCTCTTTCTCCTTTTCCTGATCCTGTCATGAGCTAAGTAGCTTTCCTCTTTGGGGCCCCTACCCTATAATGTGCTGCTCACCTTGGACCCAGAACAATGGAGTTGGCCATTTATGGACAAAGACCTCTGAACCTGTGAGCTGCAAATAAGCTTTCCCTCCTCTAAGTTGTTGTCATATATTTTCGTCACAGAGATGCAAAAGCTTATGAAAACGATACTCCTTGAATTATTTATTCCTCTTCTAAGATCTCTTTTAAAAATGCAATTAAAAATTCAAATACTTCCATAAAAATTTTTATCTCAAAATTAATTATAACCTCAAAAACTAGAAGTAATCTAAATTTTATTTAAAAATATGTATCATTGTCTGAATTGTGTTAAAATAATATATGTAAGGATAAAAAACAGTATAAAAGACATTGTGATTTATTTTCACTTTATTTTTGTGTTTGTATTTTTAAAGTTTTAAAATTAGTTTTGTAACAAGATATTATAATAAAACATTAGCAATGATTATTTGGAATTGCAGAATTAGGAATGATTTTTAAAATTTTCTTCCAAAGAATATTACTTATTCATTTTCCAAATTTGTCATAGTTTTTTGTCATACATTTTTATACCTTTTTATATCCAGAAACAAACAAACAAACCCCACATCATTTAGAAAATACATCTTGGCTATAGGAATTTATTTAATTGTTTTAAGAGAGCCATCAAATGATAATAATTCCATGGAAGCAAGAGAGAACTTATTCATATAGAGAAGACATTGGCTAGAACTGGCTGTCTTTAGAACCTGTGTTATTTAACTTGGTAACATTTATTGAATTTTGATTTGTTGAAAATAAGACAGACCTGAGTATTTTCCTCTTGATACTTAATCTAATTATATAAATTTGAAAAGGTTATTCTTTGAACTTTCAAATGTTCTTAAAATGTACTAGGCATTTTTAAAAGTTTAGAAATGGATTTATGAAAATGAAGCCTTTAGGTTAATCACTTGTATCATTTATTAAATATTTTCATAGATTAACAGGAAGGCATTTGAAATCACATCAATTTTAAAAATCTCAATTATTACTGTATTCAGAATAAAGAAATGAAAGGAAGAGGGGAAAAGATTTTAAAAGTGCCTGCTTGAGAACAGTCTTTACTTGCTTTATATGAGAAATCTCTTTAACATCTAGATGCATATCTTCCCACACCTACATACTATTATGAATATGGATATAAAAACTAATACAAGGGCTGGGGAGGTGGCTCAAGCGGTAGCGCGCTCGCCTGGCATGCGTGCGGCCCGGGTTCGATCCTCAGCAGCACCACATACCAACAAAGATGTTGTGTCCG